CAAGGTAGAAATGGCGGAAGCCATAGCTACAAGTATGGTAGGTTAATATACATGAGGATGAAAATAAATACATACTATATATAAACTAAGAGAAAACACTTGGGTGAACTATAAACACAAGGATGACAAAAATACATACTAAAAATAAACTAGGAAAAATAAATCTTGGGGGAACAAATGAGTATAATCCACTAATACGAAGCCCCCGAAATATGCTGCAATAAATAATTGCAGCAATGCCCCCAAGATACTGTATAAATATTGGTATATGTTGATTAATTTGGTAAATTGCAGAGCCTTCCTTAATGTGATTGGATTGGCTGTGTAAGCAGTTTGTACTATAATATTTTAATGATGTATATATATAATGGATTGGCTTTATTTGTGTATTTTCTGTGAAGTTTTTTCAAACAAAACATGACACTGCTGTAAATGTCATGAGGACTTCAACTGGTCAATATATGTTTTAATTATGTTACTGTATAACCCTTTAAGCGAGGGACTGGTTCTTGCCAACCAGTGACTACGCAAGCATACAAGCATAAGCAAAGTGTGAAAGCGGGGTTAAGCCTATAATGTCGGCCATGGAAACAAATTAATGATTAAGTTGGTGAAATGGTGGTGAAATGGCGGTGAAAAGGCTCTGGATTTAAATAGTGCTATAAAATTTCTGAGCTGTTCGTATGTTTTGTTTTGTTTGGTTTTTCTCATTTTTAAATTCAGACAATTGTCATAGCTGGTATATGCATGGAGGTCTTGACCGAAACTTAGCAGAATACGACAGACAGTAATTTTGATTTAAATTTCTGTGACATGAGAAAAATTGGCAGTGGCAGACTAATGGAAGAAAATAAGTAGGCTATGTTTACAAATCAGATATCTTAGGATGGACCAATATCAATAGTTGAAAGCTTATAAAGTGTGTTTCTTGGAAATTTTTATGAATTGAAAAACAGTTACAAATTAACTGTAATTTGATTAGACAGCTTTCAACATCACCTATCAAATTTATTCTACTAAAAGCAAATCAATTAATACAGTAACTTCAATATTTTTTTCAGCCAGGTTAATCACTTCGCAAACTGAGGAAAGATGTGAAAATTGTTTAGATTTATATACTAAATTCACAAATATACATTTACTACTATATTTAAATTTACCTTTGTCTGGGTGATATCATTTTTTTTGTTGGTGATCATTTCTTCAGAACAATTAGTGATTTAGAAATTACTGTCAGCTATTTGTGGCGAAAGTGATATAAGTTGTTGTAGCCAAATTTAAGACTAATACCGGGAAGCCTGGCAATTAAAATCTTAAGGTGAAATAATTCTTAATTTCGCAAGTTGAATTTACCATGTATATACTTGTATATGTGTTTACTAGTAAATATGATTTTTCCATGGAAACTAATTTGTTGGCCAATTATTGATTTTGCTCATTTTAAAACCTTTCTTGATACAAGTACAAATGAAAGACAAAACCATTAAGAAAAAAAAAATGTTCTCTTAAGTTATAAGGAAAATGTATCACATGCTATTAAATATGTTTTATTACGCTATATCCTTCAACATAAAATCTCAAGTAAGACATAACTCTTGTCTAACAAATTCAATTGATTAGAATATGTATGTATACATACTACATGAATAGGTATTGTAAAGTGAGAAACTATTATTTCTATATTTAAACGATTAAGTAAACTACACTAATATAATCCATTCCCCAATAAAAGTATATAATATATATTATGTATATTGAAGACAAGCCTTACAGAATCTGTATTGTTATTATAACATTTTGATGACAACTAAGATCCCCTCGGATTGGTATTTTATTTGATATGACAGTTTGTAAGCATGTATATTTGTTCTGGAGCTGTGTATATGTCAGTTTGAAAGGTTTCTATTCTGAATAATATGTAGGACAATGAAGGGTGATTTTGTAGTGGGGCCCTTTTGTTATATCGTTTTGATTTTCTTCATCTTCCTCTTGAGAAAATCAAAGGGAATTGTCTGAAATTCTCCATACTGATAGTTCCTAATGTGAACTGGGGCACCTGACTTGGTTTGGCAGTCATATTGGATTGAAATTAAACTGGGTGTCTAGGCCATGAGATTATTTTATGGCATATACCAGTAGCACAACTCATATGTAATAGATAGCAGCAATAACAAGTTTTTTAGCAGTCAGATGACATTTTCTCGTTTTTAGCTCCGCTGTCAACTTTGTTGAGTGGAGCTAATGATATGAGTGATTGTCTGTCGACGTCCGCGTCAACTTTTTACTTTTTTGATTTCTTCTTGGAAACTACAAGTCTGAATGCTTTGATACTTGGTGTCTACCTTGGGTAGACCTATCTTAGATTTGTTCATTTCATGATGATATCTTCAATATGTTATTTATTGTCATAGACACCATACAGTCTTGCCTATGATATTCATATGTTACTTATTGTCATAGACACCATACAGTCTTGGCTATGATATTCATATGTTATTTATTGTCATAGACACCATACAGTCTTGGCTATGATATTCATGTTATTTATTGTCATAGACACCATACAGTCTTGGCTATGATATTCATATGTTATTTATTGTCATAGACACCATACAGTCTTGGCTATGATATTCATATGTTATTTATTGTCATAGATACCATACAGTCTTGGCTATGATATTCATATGTTATTTATTGTCATAGACACCATACAGTCATGGCTATGATATTCATATGTTATTTATTGTCATAGACACCATACAGTCTTGGCTATGATATTCATATGTTATTTATTGTCATAGACACCATACAGTCTTGGCTATGATACATGTATTCATATGTTATTTATTGTCATAGACACCATACAGTCTTGGCTATGATATTCATATGTTATTTATTGTCATAGACACCATACAGTTTGGCTATGATATTCATATGTTATTTATTGTCATAGAC